GAGAGGAAGAGGAGGGGAGGGACGGGGGGAAGGGAGGGAGGAAAGGTGACGGAGGAGGGAGAGAAAGGCAGCGAGCGGAAGAGACAAGTGGGAGATGAGCACTGTAGGAGCGCGGGAGGAGTGGGTGAGACGGGGAGTGAGGAAGAGATCAGACTGTGTTTCTATGTTTTCTGCAAGGCTGAGCGCTGACGTGATTGGCTGAAGGGGGGCGGGGGGGGGGGGGGTGATGTGTGGAGGAGAGAGAGAGAGCAGACCTGACTCTGAGATCAGAGACAGACAAAATGGCTCCCAGAGAACAGAGAAGGCAGCATCAGGGCACTGTCATCTCCACTCACACAGCTGTCAGCTGACGCCACGCTCACATCTGGCACACCGACACAGGAAAGAGGCTGAGATGATGGGCAGTAATCCTGATCGCCGGCTTCCTGCACCACTTTTTCTGTTTTATTATTGTTATTATTCATTAGCATAGAGATAAAAAAAACCACACACACTTTAATGCCACGCCGCCTCACGGCTGACCCTTGTTCTAATTTAACCCCTCCACCCTCCTCCTGGTGGCGCGGCCTGTTGTAACATGTGACGCACTCGGAGCTGAAGTTGCCCCGCTGCAGAGCCTCTGTGTTCGCCTGCCAAAGAAAACCCTGGACAGGGAATTCACCCAGTGAGAGTGGGGAAATAATATACTGTGTGGCAGGATGAGAATAACAACACGCCGACTCTCCGCGGCCACAAGAGGGCGCTGCTGACAAAGGACAACATGAGGTTGGAGGTCAGCTGGAGTTTTTCCTCCTGGGGATGCGCTGTCAGCGACGTTGAGCCTCTTTTATTTCTCTTTAAATTAAGTTGCTTTTTTGGGCTGTGCACAAATCCACGCTCCCAGCATTTGTAATTTTTCTGGCTGCAACTAACAATTGTTTTAATTGTTGATTATTCTACCGCATACTACAGATTTTGCTGATACTAGAAATACATTAAAAGATCCACAAAAACAAATAATTCAATAAATTTTTTAAATAAGAAAATTACAATTTCATGGCCTGAAATGCAAAAACATAGTATATCTTTAGTGAGCTCGAACCGGTGAAGAGAAAACAATCCCACTTGATGACTTTTGGGTAAAGCTTATTTGCAGACAATGACGTTTTCATCCTAAATGCAAAATCTATTTATATTTTGTGCAGTTTTGGCTGAATTACTACTCTGAATATGTTGTTTTTTTCCAGCCACTCACCATTTTTTGAGTCTGAACTCAAAAAAATTAGTTGATGACTATTTCAGTACGTCATCAAACACATCCCACTTTTCCACACATTTTTTTTTTTAGTTGACACAAAATGTGAATAATTTTTTTCATCGCTTTAGTTGTTCAAAATGACCCTTTACTTTTATTTCTTTTGTGAGAAATAAAATACTTTTTTATTGATCTATAATGTTGCTACAGATAAGCCCAGAGAGGTTCACTCCCCGGGCAGATTTATGTTTATAATTTATTTTCATTCAAGATGTTTGTTTCTAACAGGAAGTGAAATGGAAACATCCAAAGAAATAACACAAATGAGATAAAAAACAAACAAACAAAAAACTTCTCTGTTTTACTTATTTTTACTTATATTGTAACAAAAATGGCAAGTTGTCATATTTGCAATAATCGGTGTAGACATATTGGAGCAGTGACTAATACCTGCAGAAATGGGCTGAAAGCATAAATAAGGCATCAACATCTTCTTGGTGGGGCAGGATGGACACTGACCTACCCCAAGTTTCTCCACTGTCCAAAAAATATGCATCTAAGGTTAATTGGTATATCTAAATGGATTCTTCTGGCACTTGATTGGCATCTAGTGGGACTTAACCACTAAGGCTGTTGGAGCAGTTTTTAAACGTTGGTATATTTTAAACCATACACAGAGTTTACATTAGATGGAAAAAGTTTTTCAGTTCAAAGCTCTGAACTTTAAACTCACATGTTTGAACTTTGATAACAACACAGGGTTCTTCACGGTCTTGAAAAGTTTGGACGACTAAACTGAATATGAAAAACAACATTTGGGGGTTTCATTTAAGTAACCAAAAGTGTGAATATTAAAGAGGTTTGTATATGAATTTATAAGTAGTTGACAGGATTTTGTTTTATTTCTTTAAAAAAAAAAAAAAAGACAAAAGAAAAAAATCATCTCACAGCTTTTGTTGACCCCTGAGCCCTTGTAGATCAGAGTTTAAATTGCAAACTGGGGTTCTTTAACTCTGTTTAATTTATATTGGCAGCAAAGTGTCTTTTTATGTTTTTAAAAACAACAAAAGAAAAGGTGCTCCAAGGCATTTATGTTTAATATAAAATATTATAATCAAATTTAATTTTTCTTTATCAAAAAATGTCCAAATGTTTGTTTTTCACCACATTAGTCAAATGCCTGTCAACCTCCTCTCTGTGTTGATTGTTTTCAAGAACATCCAAATAGTAAACTTGAACTATGCCAATGTTTTGTTCTCAAATATTCAAATTGTTATAAATTTAAATATTTATAACAAAAAAAAATCAAAAAATTTCAACCGGGAAAGATTTTAAATTTGAAAGTTTGTAAAAAAAATTTAGATATGAGACTAACATAGAAAAATTACTGAATAAGCAACAAAAATGATATAGTGATTCTGAATCTCATACTAAAATAAAACCTTTGTTTTCAAAGGGTTTTTAAAGTTGTAGGTTTGATGTGCTTTGTTCTCAAAGTTCCTGAAGTTTGGCAACCAGAATAAATTACCAGCTTTCTTTACATTGTGATGCGTTTGGTTTTTTGAAACATTTTTTATTTTTTTCCCTTTGGGTTTTTTGAATAAATATAATTACACAGCTCACTCAGGCTCGTTATGGAGAAAAGAGAGTCGACTTATTGGTTCAGTGCATTAACGCTAATGGAACAGAGCAGCCAGACATTAACAGGAGTAAAACCACAAAAACAACAGCACTGCAAAAATATCTGTACATTAGCCTACGACATATTTCAGCCGTTCATTCAAGCACGCCAGTCACCTTTTGCTGACTTTAACTATTCTCAGCATGACCTTTGAAAATGAGCTTGTTGAACTTTTGGATTTAGACATTGCAACGTTTCATCCAATGGCATCCAAAGCCTTCAAAATATCAGTATTTTTTATAAATTTCATTCCTAAAGCATCTCAAAGTTTCTTTCAACATTTTCAAACCATTATTACTTTCAAAATTACATCACGGACTCAGAGTCGAGCTTGAATGATGTCATTGAAATGTTGATGCATTTCATTTTTCTCACTGCCTACAAACCACAACGCTGCTTCTCTCCGATTGGCTGATCAAGTTCTCATGACGACTCCTTCCCCACACGGTGCCGAGGTGAGCTGAGGTCCAATCGCCCTTTTGAGATTCTGTTGCGATACTTTTATTTATTTTTTTTTCTTGCTTCAAACGCTTTATTACTTTCGTCTAATTTCTGAGTGAAGTTCAGAGTTTTGATTTTCCTCGAGCGCGTTCTTTCTTGATGTTCAATTCTGCTCCTGATTCATAGTGAGAAAATCATCAAGTCATCCAGCGAACTGAACCAGAACCTTTTGGTGTGATGTTGGTGAACTCATTGGCCCAGTGTGGCTTTCCACAGGGGTAGATGATGAGAAAGCTTTTATCCGCCATCTGACGCTCCAAAGACTGCAGGAAGACTGTAAACCAGTTGAAGCCTTGCGTCTCTGGACACAATCAGTATCAGTTGCTCTGAAACAGAACTTTCTAATCAGACAGAGTTCTGACCAAGAGCAAATCAACCGAGCTGACACACCGAGAGGCTGATTCTGGACTAATTGATCAAAAAGTAACGCTTGGATAAAAGTGAAGCATTTAGTTATTTTGGACAATGATTTTTTTTTTACATCTAAAATCTCCGTTTCCTCTCCTATCAGTGCCCTTGAGGTTTTGTTTGCTTTGTGTTTCGTGACTCAATTTAATTATTATGAAAAAGATCTCAGTATGATTATTCACAAAATAATGTTTTATTGCACGTTTGCATCGGTAAATGGTAAAGAAAAAGAAAAATCTCAGAAATCTTCAGCATAAATCAAATGGAGAGCCAAGTAATAAATACTGAAACTTGTGGCAATATTGCTACGATTTTATTTACTTTGAATTTTGATAGAATGTCTCTGATATTACGGTACTGTTGCATAAATGAATGAAGAAATTTGCAAGTCCAAAGTGAGTATTATGTTTTCCAGTCTGATGACAGTTTGATTGCTTTTACCCCAAAAGTGTTTACTCTACTCGTCAGTGATAAATTCCACATTAGTGCTTTTGTTTCTTCGTCTTATTTAGTAAAAGTGAAGAACTTAAGCCGCTGAATGTTTAACTTCTGATAGCCGCCGACCAGCGAAAGAAGATTACCAGAGAAGATATCTCTCGTGTGGAGCAGCAGGATAATCTGGGGCCGTGTTTGAAGGGGTCGCTGCACTTGAGGAAAGAAATGTCCTGTTTGACCATTAGCCACTCGCAATGTTTTGGGTGAAGCATATTTACAGACAATGGTGTTTTCATCCTCAGTGCAAAACCTATTTATATTTTGTGCAGCTTTGGCTGAATTACTACTGTGAATAGTAGCAATTCAGCCAAAGAAAGAAAGAAATGGGAAAAAAAACAGCAGTTAGCAGAAGTCGGCTCAGATCAGATTAATCAGGACGGTCTCCTGCAGACAGAACCGACACGAGGCTGTCCTCGGATCCCAGCTGAGGGGAGGGCGACGGGGACGGTTGTTATCAGAAGTTGGGCAGATGCATGTGGCGCTCAGTTTCCTGTTGACGAGCAAGTGGAAGTGGCATGCTGCACACATTTGCACGTGGCTGCACGCGCGCGCACATCAACACCCAGTGGCACATGCACATGGACACTGCAGGCAGCCCCCGCACCCCCCTCTCGATGTGCCCCTGAGCCTGACAGTCTGGACATGGGAGATATCAGAGAGTGGGAGAGGCATGAAAACACAGCGTCTGAGTTAGATCCGGGTATAGCTGTGAAAGTGCATTTGTAGGTGACAAAATGGCGATGTCAGAGCAGCTTGAGTCCGAAGGAGGTAAGGTTTTGTTTGATTTTTTTTTCCTTCCTTATTCTCATAGTCCTTCTCGTTCCTGATTTGTGAGCAAAAAAAAAAAAAAAAAAAAACATCAGATGTATTTAACTTTAGTTTGTCTTATCAACCAGAGCAGTGGAGAAAATAAAAAGTTCAGCCCATTCCAGCACGGTTATTTGATTACTCCTGGTTATTCAGCACCAACTTGTGCCAGCTTTAATCACTTCACAGACATGGATTTGTGGCTTTAGGTGTGACTGTGCAGCTGGAAGTGTAGCTGGTGAAATGAAGGTTAGGCGTCTGTGTGCGTGTGTGTGTGTGCCTCGCTGCTTGGGGTGGTGGCTGAAGATAAGGCCGACCCTATGCCTGAGAGCGAAAGAGACGGTGTGTGTAAGCCCTTCAAGCCTTATCCCGGCACACCTCCCACCCCCACCTCCTCTCCATCACTTCGCTGCACACATGTCCACACACACATCCACACGCAGCGGGGATTAACCCTGTCATGTACCATTTCAATGGGGAAGCTTTGGAGACACACACACACACAGACTCACACAGGATTAACTCTTGTGTGTCCATTTCCATGGGTTTCTTCGCCGCTCTCCGGTTGTGTCGGTGTAGACTGCTCGAGTTTCCATGGTGACAGGGGCCAGTGAATGTAAGATAGGAAAATCCACATAAGTCACCCGCAACAGACACTCTGAGCTACTATTGACTACAGCTCCCCTGGTGCTAGACTCACAAAGATGCTGCCAAAGGACTGACAGGAGGCTTGTGAGCTGTGAAGTGCTCATGAAACAGGCTTACTTTGGTCAGAAGCAACAAACATGAAGTCAGCTTGAGCTTCTGCTGCTGCTGCTGGTCGGGTGAGAGACGAGGCTTCCAGCAGATTATCCTCTGTAAATGAGTAACACCGCAACTTATTATATATTTGTCTTATACACAAGAGTCTGCAGAGGTAAAACCGTAGACTGTGCTCAGGTCAAATATAACCTGTTTGTTAAGTTTAGGTAACGTTTGCTTTTCTCCACTGGAACAGAAACAATTATTTTAACGCGACAAAATAAAATGTACATACACACATTTGTGTGTGTATGTTATTTTAAAATGTTTAATACATGGTTTGATTTTTCATTTGCACCTGCTATTCTGGAATTATTTATCATTTATAACCACGCTTATTCAGTTGTATGTATGTCTGTTTATATATATGTCTGTTTATATATATATATATATATATATATATATATATATATATATATATATATATATATATATATATATATATATATATATATATATATATATATATATATATATATATATATATATATATACGAAAAAGAATGTCTCATAGATCTGACAAACAAATAGATCCAAAATAAAGAGGGTTTGGCACAATTCCCTTATTAAAACTAAGTCATTTGGTCTCCTAACTGTTGAGGATAAATAGTTTTCTGTCTCTTGGACTAGTGAAAATGTACTCTTTATGCTCCAAAACAGGTTTCAGGGTGATTTATCTATTTATCCACAGGCAATGTTAGCATCTCTGCTAACAACTCCTTACAATAAATGGAACTAAAACAAAACAGAGAAGAAATCTGGAGAGCACAATTATAAAAATGGGTTAAACCAGCAGCAATAAAAACATTTGTGAGCAGAACAAATGCATTTTTGTTTGCTTATTCTTGAAGCACTTTTGTTATATATATATTTTTTTTAAGAAAGAGATTTACGCAACTGTAACTCATTGCTGCATTAGTCAATTAAAGCAGTGGTTATCCTAAATGTGTTATCGTCTGAAAGTGATTGTTCAGCATTATTCATAACCACGCTTGTTCAGTTGGACAACACAAGTGGGAAAAGCCAGACCACACAGTGACGCTCTCCACAGAGATTTAATTGCATGTTCAGAATGAGTGATTGCAGCAAATTTAACGCTTGCATTGACTGTCGCCAGTGTGAGAGAAGCGATAGCTGCAAGTCAATGACTCAATGCAGTCTACTGGACTTCCTTAGAGAAAAGAAAAAGTTTACCAATTTGAATAATAAGCTGAACTTGATAGGATGTGCTTGTCTTGGAATATGTCAAGTTGGGATGAATTTTCTTTTTCATTACTGCAAAAAGCCTGGAGATGACGTGTTGTGAACTGGCTGCTTATAAATAAACTGAATTTCACTGAATTAGTAAATGGCAACAAAAAAAAAAACATCTTATTCCAGCAGCTTTTTCCAGTATTTAGCCAAAAGAGGAAAATCATTTGGTTGGTAAAAGCAATGAGATCTTTTCTAACATGAATTGAATCATCATTTTTATTCAGTATGCATAAAATCAGCCCTCCAAATGTCTAGTTTTCTGTTTTCAACCATGGCTCTCAAAGAGTTTTTCTAGTCTTATAAAGTTGTTGTCTTTTGCTTAAGTTTTATTTTTAGGCCGGTCTCCAAAACTAAGTATTTTCTTTATTAAGCCACCCGACTCTCGTCTATTAATTTATAGAAGAAAGTAACCAAAGCTCAACTGATGAGTCGGTTTTATAATTTTTCTGCACTTTTTATGTTTTTATTTTTTATTGTAACAAAATCTATGTCTCGTTTTTTGTACTTTGTTTGAATTCAAAGATGAAAAAGCAGACAGACATGAATTGTGGTTTTGATGATTCTCAAGCATCTGTTGCCCAAAAGCTCTGCTAAAGTCTATATTATGTTGTTAAGAAAAGGAAATAAGTCGAGGTCAAAGTGCCAGGGGACAGGACTGAGTTCCATACACCACTGTCTAATTGTTACGTTACGGCACGTCGATTGACGTCAGAAATGAAAAAGCTACTTCGAAAATGTGACACCTGACCTGGAAACAGATGCATCAATTATTTGACAGAACCTCATCAGAAAGAGTCTCAGGAGGATGGTGACCTAATTATGCAACAAATAGATGTAAAACCTTTAGCCACCCTGTCATGTGGGCTGAATAATGTGAGTGTGAAATTATTGTTAATGTGTATAAAATAATGAGCAGTGAGTAAAACATGGTGGAGGATGTGTCGTGGTGTAAGGACGACTTACACGTGTTTCAATAGAAAGTAAATTACAGATTTTCAGCTGGAATGCAGTTGGTGTTATTCCTAGATCTAACTCCCAACTTCTAAGGCAAATTAAAGTGAATATCTCAAGCTGGAGCAAAACATTTTTGAAGCAGTGTGGACCTAACCTGGCCATTGCCTTTATATGCAAATTCGCTTGATTTTCATCTCCCTTCACTGCTCTGTCTGGACTTTCTCCCATTGACTTGGATTTCCCTGGTAGAATTTCAACCGGGCCAATCAGGGAACAAAAGGTGAAGTTGTGAACGATAATGTTGATTTTCTTCAGAATTGAACTCTGCCTGTAGTTTTAGCAAAGGTAACAGAGGAAGTAGCGAGGAAAGCCATTGAGTCCTTGTTGACCATGTTTCTAAAAATTAAATTGACTTTAACAGCCACCTGGTTCAGCAGATGGTTGTTTGCAGCGCAGGTTTCATAGCAGCTTTCATCACGCTTTTTATACGTCACTTACTGCTGTTAGCAATTGGGTAAAATTGAAAACTTCAACAGACGCCACACCTCCAGCAAAAAATCGCTTCTCGCTCGCCACGCGTCCAGTCCCTCTGAACGAGGCAGAGGGTAGAACAAGGGGCTGGTTTTTTACCAGGCTAGTGTAGATCACACCTACAGGAAAAATAGACCCAAAACAAAATAAATTATTCACGGTTCTTCTTCAGAAAAAAAGCTGTCTGGGTAAAAAAATAATAATTATTAATAAAATCACTCTTTTGAAAAATCATTTTTGCAGGCTATCTGCTAAATGTGTAACCAGAGCAGGATCTGTGTCGGCACAAAGTTGAGCTTGTTTTCCATGTGGCTTCCCTTCATCCCTGGTCCTGTTAGGAGCATCCACTGACACGATCTTAAGCTGCGGTCATGGAAAGTGTCTGGTTTGCAACTTCATGTTCTCATCTTTGCTGATTGCAGATGTTTTGGTTTTGATGGCTTCCTCAGGCCACGTTCTTTAGTTTTTAATGTAGGTGTCTTAGCTAACAGAGCAGAGGCTAGAATGAGTCCGCGGTTCTTCACTGGCAAGAGTACGGGCTGCTGCATCCTGCCTCAAATATCTCCGCGATTTGTTCACGAGCGACATATGGTGGAGCTGGGAATGGATAGATGGTCTGGGACCTCATCTCTTGCAACACTGCAGTGCTCTGTTCTGTAGTGGTGAAGAGAGAGCTTTGGCAAAGGGCAAAGCTGTTGAATTACCAGTCCTGAAATGGTTCAGGGATGAGCTTAACTCTGTGGCGTCGCAGGGCTCAGCCTTAAGAGATCTACCTTTCATTTCTATACCATTCAGATCAAATCATCCTGCGTTCAACTACTGGTAGCAGACGGATCAACAGGGGAACTGTACTCCTACTATATAAAATACTAAATAAATGCAATGATCACATACTTTCACTTTTTTTTTTAAGTATACAGAACATTTCTCAACTATTATACCCTCTGTCTTTAAATTCAATCATGCATATGCTAGTAAATATGAAGGTGATTTCAGCATCTAGCCTTAACCTCTTTCTGTCTGGTAGCAAAAATGATAAATGTGGCTGACAGTGTTACTTTGTGCACCTGTTCATGTGCATCCAAAGAAGTCAGTAGGAGGTCCAGACATTTGATCAGGATGAAACCTGGAGGTTTTCTGGGTGCACCAACTTGAAGCAGACCCCAGGGCAGACCCAGAGCTCACTGTAGGGACTTTATACGATTACCCAGAATGAGTTTGAAAGTGTTGCTGAGGAGAGGGATGTCCAGGCTTTCCTGCTGGAATCTCACTCTCGTGAATGGATATAGGTGAGCAGAAGACAATGGATGAATGAACGTCAGGTCTTCCAATACGCTGTGTATTTTCTTGTAAGAGGAGATATATCTCCTCTTACAAACCTGTTAGATACAGAAATGAAAGGTGGCCCAAGACATTTGTGCTGTATTGCATCTGTAAAAATAAGGAGGCATAAAAATGTAGAAAATTGCTGGCTTTAGTCTGACCCTACTTGTTCTTTTTATATTTCAACCTTGGCCTTATGGGTGGGATCTCGCTGGCTGTGATCTGAATATCTGATTATAAATTGAGGCGATTTAAGCCGATTTAGAAGCCTGTGGGATTCTCCTTTTGGCTTAGCATCTTTGTACGTGTGTGTGTTCATTAATGTGTGTGTGTGTGTGTGTGTGTTTGTGTGTGTGTGTATGTGTCTGCAGTCTGAGCAGAAACTTGTGGAGAGAAGACTTACCCTGTTGATGGATCTGGCTTGTCCACCTTGGAGACAGTTCAGTGTACAAACTTTTAAAACGCAATTAAGTCGAACCGCTTCGGTCCCATACCTTCTGTGAAAGTTTAGAAGATTTTAATCTTCCTCAGACTGATCGTGTTGCTGCATCAGCAGTGCTTGCATCACACTGAATGAGCCCAGTGTGTGCGGCCAGGGCTCTCCGGCTGTCCCAGTTCGGCTGTTAGGAGCAAGTTGATGTGCACTAATTAGGCAAACATGAAAACCACTTTGCAGTCAACATGATCTTTGTTTCCACGCAAATTTCCAGTCAGCTGCATTAGGCCAATTCTCATCTGTGTCAGTTAGGAGGAAGAGATGGGATGCAGGGCGGAGGAAGGGGAAAAATGCTTACCAGACAACCTTTATGTGCAGTTGTGCATTAAAGGGGGAGGTGGTGGTGGTGGACAAGGAGGAGGAGAAGAAGAAGAAGAAGAAGAAGACGAAGAGGAAGGAAAACCGGGGGGAGAGGGTGGCTGACTGTGCTGGGCAGAGAAGAGAGGAGCAAATGCATTGCAGACGGAAAGGAGGAGGGCCTACAGCTATTGTTCATGTCCTCCCGTGAACAAAGGGCTCATCGGGGTCCGTATGTAAACCCACAGCAGGCTCCAGTCCACGGACGAGGCCTCATGCGGGACAAAACATAAAACTACCGACTCCCGAAATTTCGGCCTTATTCCGCCGTTCCCTCTCGGTCTGAGGAGATTTTCTTTTATTGATCCTGTTGGGAAAGGACGTATTGTTGTGTGGGTACGTTGCGTCCTGCGGGCCTATCCGTTTTTACGCACGGAGCGTACACACGGTCTATCATCACGGATCTGTAAACATCAATTTTCTGATTGGACTTCTTCGCAGGTAAAAGGTCACTTTTCCAGCCGAAAGACAGTTTTTCTACTGTGAAACGCGACTCCTTGTGCGATCAAATGCGGTTGACGAGCACTCGCGGTGGAAACTTATCGCCATTTAATGGGAGATTTGCCGTAGAGAAGGAATAAAACGTCAAGGCGTTAGCCAAACGGCTATCTGCTAACGGCTAAACTAGCCTGCCCGTCAAAGGCCTGCGAGGTAGTGTTGTAGTTGTGAAAGGTGTAAGGGTTATTTCTCTTCTATAACTTGGTAATTAAACGAACCTTCTATTTGGTACAAAGGTGTAGGTTTTATGTTGTGTTGCAGATATTCCCAGTTTTCTCGCATGTAGCTCTTGTAGCGTAGCTTAGCTGGTGGCTAAGTGCTAACATTATGCGATGGCTGCCTTTCTAATTGCCTTTGTAACCAATTCTTGTAACTTTGCAGTGAAATGTTTCAGCGGCGTAAAGTTGAAACACGCATTACAGATGCGTAAAGTGTAACAAAGACGATGGGAAGAAATATAAAAGCCTATGACTCGGGTAGTTTGCTTGCTTTCTCCCAAAAAAAACGCTAATGGAAACCACAGTGGCCGTCTGTGACGAAACCAATCTAAGAAAACTAGAAAAGTGAGGAGTGATTGGTCTTCAGGTGACAGGAGATCGATGCTGTTGAATCCGAGCTGTTTAAGGCTTCCACGCCTCTTTGGGGTTCGGGTTCAGGTTGAAGTTTGACTGCATGGTTTGCGTGAAACACATGAACATGTACAGTATGTATACATAAACCGTGTGTAATGTGTTGTTTGCTTGTAAGAGAGAGAGGAGCGTGATTCCCAGTGGAGGAAGTGGAGTCCAGCTGATGCGATTGTGACTGACTGTCATTAACCGCTAACAGGAGAGGAGAGGAGCTAATGGAGCTTTCAACAACTAATGGACACATACCCATTGATTATTTATTTATTTCTTGATCTGGCGGTGCATGCAGCCTGTGTCGTGGTGTTGCAATCCAAACTGCTTGTTGTTCCTTAAAGAGCAGACAGAGCTTCAGATGAATGATGAGTGTTTTATTGCTTTTCTTCCTGGCTGAAGATGGGGGAACCTGTTTTAAAAGGCCTGTTTGTTCACCTGTAGGTTTCTAACTTTCCCCACATGCTCCCTGGAGTCTACAGTACACCTGGTGTGCATACTTGACTGCCATCAGGCCTGCTTTAGATTTATGGGATTTTTATCTTTTACTGACAAACCTGAATGAATAGTTTAAGGGGAAACTTAATACACGTCCTTTTAAACAACAGTGTTAACTCTTGAGAATTTTACTGCTAACTCAAACTAGGAAAGACGTTTTTTGTTTGTTTGTTCGTTTTAATTTGAATTTCACATTAGTATCTTTATTTTTTGCAATTACTTGTTCTACAGATGCACCAATGAGTCAGACTGTCAGTTTTCCCATAACGAGATGTGATTGGTGTTTGGCAGAACAGATGCCAGAAAATCTGCCAGTTTTTTTTGCCCCTTTCTCAAGGGGTATTTATTCTGTCACTTGTATTTTAGTAACCAACTACAGTGCAAGTAGTTGGTTATTTTCATAAGGTACAGGGCAGGTTATATAGTGATTTAAAAAATCCTCTTTGTTTTTTTTTAACTTTTCTTCCGACACTATATCATAATGAAAAAACATGCACTGGGCTGTCCCAGTTGATTAAAAAGTGCATCACCTGTTGGTTGAGTTTTTAATTTTTTTTTGAATACCCCCCAAAAATAAAAAAAATCCTGACCAGAATTGATCAAGGGGAAAGTTTTGGATTTCAATTGATTGATGTATGTCTGTTCAATAGTAACAAGACAGGGACGTTAAGGAGGAGGGGCCTCACCATGGTGACCGTGGGGTCATGACACCTACGCCGCCATGCCTGGATGGTCTTTATGACGGAGCTGGGCAGTTATTGTAAAAAGAAAAAGGGATGGGAACTGTTTGTGTCTGGCAGAGACATCAGCCTGTTTTATGAGTGTCGAGGACATGTGGTCTGCTGGTATTTTTATATTTAGAGGTGTTTTCATGGAGATGGGATGGTGGAGAGGCGGAGGATTAGCTTATGTGCGAGGAGGAGGATGCCTCTTCACCGTCTTTGTGTCACTAAAACAGACACGTACCTGCTGCGTCGGGCTGACGTCCACATGTGCTGCTACACCAGATGAGCCCATTAATCAACTTGTACTGAAGACATTGTTGCACCAAAGACTAGAATAATTTAGCTTTTGTCTCAGAGCACTGGGCGTTACTGTTCCTCGTAATCGCTGCTGTAGTCTGTCTAGTTTCCTTTTTACTGTCACAGATATTTATGTTTTTCCTCTCTTGTGTGTCTTCATGTCATCCAGGCTGTTCCTCCAAGTCGTTCAAGCTGTACTCCCCCAAGGAGCCCCCCAACGGTAGCACTTTCCCCCCTTTCCACCCCGGCACCATGCTGGACAGAGACGTGGGGTGAGTTTCCTGCCCTTTTGTACGTTTCAAATATCTAATGCTGGTGTTTGTAGCTTTGTCAACCATATTGTATTTACAATGAGAGCACAACAGGGATTTAATCATGTTGCACTCGTATTTGTCTGATGTACATTAATGTGTAGTATTTGATGAAGAAATGTTGTGACCTTTCTCATCATCGTCGTTTTTGTGTAAATGTCTGATTTATATTTATACAGTATGATAAAGAAAGATGAGCCAGGTGTATGATTGTTTTCATTCTAGACTGTAGATGATTTCTTGGTGCATCTCTAGTCACTCATCACCCAGAGCAATAGCTTAAGTCAGACTGCGACTTAATTGGTGTTCAGAAAGTAGTCTAAATTTATTGGACTGTGGAACATAATTATTTTTCTTGATTTAAAAAGGAAGTGATGGGCTAATTTTGGAAGCCTGTTGTTTTGAAAAGATGAACCAACTCCTGGTTAGACTTTTAAACATCCAGATGCAGCTTTCAAAGTCTTTGTGCCATTTGTTGTGTTTATGATTAAATACCCATCAAAAGTCAACATTGTAATGACAGGAAAAAAAGCTTCTAAACTTTAATTCATTTGAGACATTTATAGCAGTTTTTACAGTTTTATGGCATCTATAAAAACAACTGAGTATAGAAGATATTTAATTAAATAGTAATAAAGAAGAAAAACAGCATTTTTTTTCCCCATTTGATGAAAAATGAAGTAATTATGAACCTGAAGTAAAAGCAGTTTTTCTGCCGGATGAAGAAAAACATTTTTTTTTCCTGAAATTGTTAATATTGTGGATGTATTGCGTAGATACCCATTTGCTGCTCCATGTTTCTTTTTTAATAAAACACAGGTTAAGATATTTGAGTGCTTGTTATATTTTCTTTGAATTCTGCTCATGTATTTTCTAGTGAAGATGAACAAGCATGTCGCTAAAGTTTAGTGAAATGACCTCCTTGTTTTTCCAGTCCCACTCCGATGTATCCGCCCTCATACATGGAGCCAGGAATAGGGTAAGGCAACACTGTTTCCTGTTCCCTTCAGCTAGTGTTGATGTGGTGTTTTAATGTGTTTTACAGCAGCTGTCAACTCCTCCCCTTTAAATTAAGACTTAGTCAGAGAAACACTTGAATGTACAAGTACTTTATCTTCATCCCTGCTTTCTTACTCATCTTGTGTTTTTTGTGCTGTAACGCAGGAGGCACACACCATATGGTAACCAAACAGACTACAGAATATTTGAGCTCAACAAGCGACTACAGAACTGGACAGAGGTTTGTGTCCAACTGGATGCACGAACACACACCCAGAAATGGACACACAAACAGTTGTGGTAATTCTTGTGTGCCGGTTTCTTCAAATTGTCCTCTAGGAGTGCGACAACCTGTGGTGGGATGCTTTTACTACAGAATTCTTTGAAGATGATGCCATGTTGACCATCACTTTCTGTCTGGAAGACGGTCCCAAACGTTACAGTAAGGAACAAACGTTACTTGAGTTGTAGTCTGCTAATGAGCCCCTATTCTCGACCCTAAACATTTTCCAGCGACAACCTTTATTTATCCACATTAACTACAGATTCAATTATATATTTATGATTATCTATGCAATTACAGACTATCATGTCACACTGCATGAGAGCATTAACCTCTGTTCTGCTACAATGTGGAGTATAAAATACAGAGTTGCAAGTCTACTAATAACAGCAGATACAGGCTCAGCAGAGACTGCAACCACTGTTGTTGACACACGTCTTATTAGAGCAGGAGGAGTTCTGGGAAATGTTCAGAGCAAAGACAGTAATAAAATGTTTGTCACAGTAGCATTCACAATGTGCATTTCTTTGAGATTTCTACTTTTTTTTTCTTGATATTTGACCTCTGTCTGTTATTAGGTGTGAGCCACTAGAAGATTCTTGCAATATGACAACATGAATATAGAGATACCAGTATGTGTATACAAAAAAAATTGTAGCAAATAGTTCTCATGATCTAGAAGCAACCATCTACAAAATTTAGAAAACACTAGCCTGATTAAAAACAGCCCCTGTTCCTCGCTTTGTTCAGAATAAGCACAAAACAAAGAGATCTGGACTCTTTGCTATTGAGAAACGATTGCTTCGTGGAGGCATGGACTCTGCTGAAGTTTAAAAGACTGGGTTTGATTTGACCAAATCACCAGCATTTGGCCGTGACGCATGTAATTCGCCAGCTACGCTATGAAGCTCACCGGAAATTTGCTGGGAAAACACAGAGTTGAATGCTTTTTCTTTGATTTTTGTTGTCTTCTGGTGAAATGGATACTCTAATAGGAGGCGTGTGGTACCATGGCTTTCTGTGTTTTAATTCCGTATTTTTTCAAACAACCAAATTACTGTTTATTGTGAGGGGGAAACAGTGTACCACAGTGGCCAGCCGACCAGCAGTGTCAGTTCAGTGGTTTTAAGACCTTGACACTCAGTTTTTTTCAGCTCTGTTGCACCGACTAACCAGAGGTCACTGGTTACATATTTCAAATATTTCCTTTTGGTTTTTTCACAACAACGTTTTTATGGATAAAAGCCATAAATAGCACAGCGCGATCCCAGCTTTAGAGACCAAACACCCCAAACCAGCCACTGGTTCTTTGGAACATCTTAACTGCGTGGCGTTAAATTCCTCTCCTTGTGGGTCGGCCTGCTGCATGCTGAAGAGATAATGCAAGCATTTCAAATAGTTGTGTTGGAGTAGAGATTTATCTGCAGCGTGTCTGTGATTGTTTTTGTGTTGCTATGGCAAATAATGCACCGCCTCAAGATCTACAATGTTTTCTTACCTGAAGGAGTCTGTTTTAAATGAGACTTAAAACAACAACAAACAAAAATTAAAAACTTTATTTTCTATACTTGGACATATGCCTAGTTTTAAATGTCTGTCTTTCAGCTGGGACAGTGGTTAGAAATGGTTATACGATTCCAATCAGAAATGGCTCAACCTTTCTAATAGTGTTTGTCATCATTAGTTTTCGGGTCCTGTTGTTTTCTGATTTCTCATTTTTAGCCCAAGTGAGCACTGCAATGCCTGTCATCTCCAAAGTGTGACACCTTCGTCTGTTGCTGTAAAAATTAATCAAAAGGGGAGTTTTGTTAAATAAGTTTAAAGCACTCATGAGACACAGATTGATTTCTGGTCATTTTGCAATTCATCCTGAAATTTTTTATAACTTTAGCTGTTCAACAATAAACTATGTATCTTAATAAAACAAACAAAAGTTGTCCAATTTTCCAACGTGCTTGGTGGCCTTTATATTTTCTTATTCTATTTATTTATTTAGGTCATTCTCATGGTGGGTCGCCTGTTTTTTTTAAAAACCTTTTACTTTTTTTCAGCCAAGTCCAACCAATACCAGTGGCGGTTTTGGAAAAAGTCAAAGCATGCGTAGTTAAAGAAGGAGGCAAAAAGAGACTGAAGATGAGCTTTTCATTTCATCTAACATTTTTTCATTTTGCAAAGAGTTTAAATTTGTCTGTGTCTTTTTTTTGTTTTTGTTTTTTATTTTTTGAAAGTCTTCAATACTCATTCTGTAATCTATTCTCCATTAATATGGAACAAACTTCCAGAAAACTGATGAAACAGAGTCCCTTTAAATCAAAGTTAATACCAATTCAGAGTTGCTTTGATTGTGGAAGATGGATCAATGTGTTTGATGTACGTTTGTTTGGTGATTTTGAAGATGGCATTTGACAAAATGTTTATTGCTTGCTTCATAATTGACTTTTCTTCTCTTTGTCAATTTATTGTACTGGAGTGTCAAACAAACTGTTATATAACAGGATCATTTAGACCAGTGTCTCAAATTGGATCTGCATATATTAGTTTTTGCTGTTTTCTGGTCAACAGTTTTTCACATCTGTTTTGTTTTTTTTTCCTCCAGCGATTGGTCGGACGTTAATTCCAAGGTACTTCCGGAGTATATTTGAGGGCGGGGCCACTGAGCTCTACTACGTGCTGAAACATCCCAAGGAATCCTTCCACAATAACTTTGTTTCCCTTGACTGTGATCAGTGCACTATGGTCACTCAAAATGGAAAGCCCATGTTCACACAGGTACGTCGGTAACGTTTTGTCAGGAGAGATTTTCTTCTTCACAGCCTTGCAGGCTGAATCTGTCCTCTGAACCTCTGCAGGTGTGTGTAGAGGGCCGCTTGTACCTGGAATTCATGTTTGATGACATGATGCGGATAAAGACGTGGCACTTCAGCATCAGACAGCACCGTGAACTCATCCCCCGCAGTATACTGGCCATGCACGTAAGTGAGGGACTGGGCGATACGTTGTAAGATGGGCGTCATTTAAAGTAGTTTTTTAATCTCATTACAGGCCCAAGACCCACAGATGCTTGACCAGCTGTCCAAAAACATAACAAGATGTGGCCTGTCAAACTCCACCCTCAACTACCTCCGGGTAAGGGAAGCAAGGGCACGCTTTTTTTTTTGTTTTTCATTCGATTCGCACCACAAAGCTGACTTTTATAGATGAAAATATCAGCAGGTTAATGCTGCAAAATCCTCTGGTCTTGTTCGAGTCTGTATGCTCACTTGATTCATCAATCACTAAATTAGTTGACAATTATTTCAATAATTATTAGTGCAATTAATCATTTCAGGCCTGCTTGATTGTTTGTGTCTTCAGAATGAGCATCTTTGTTATGTTCTCGTTTTGAAATGACAGGAGATTTCTAGAACAAACCTGTTCTGTTGGGTTGTCCTTGCTGGTTTAGTGATGATACAAAGCTCAGTTTATTTCTCTTTTTTTTTTTTTTTTTTGGCTTAAGATCAACAGCTTTGCCTACACCAGCACGTTATTCCAAGTTTAGAAGTTTCAGCGCTTTCAGAGAGCCGCAGCACACAGAGCGAAGCAGGAAGTTTTTAAGTGTAGTTTTCTTAATGTGTACGATGTTCTGACGAACTCTTGCTGGATGCTTCTTTGTGAGGCTGTCTTGACGCTTACCTTGCAGCTTTTTGTTTGGTAAGAACTGGGAAAGCTCTGTCTGCGCCTTAACTCGGGTCACTGCGTCTGTGTGCGAGTCCTGCTCCTGCTGTCAGTAAGCAGAGGCTGCAGCAGCAGAAATACAGACATTCAGCGGGCCTTTTGTTGTCGTTTTAAAAAATAATACCACTGTGCATTCACTAGCATTAAGTAAAGCTGTGGATGATGGAAAAATCCTGAAAGCTATTATGGAATTACTTCCTTCAAAATGAATAGGTAGTTTTCTATTTATGCTGGTAATGTTTACGTTTTGTTACCAAAGACTTATTAATATGTAGCTAAATGACAGAGTTGCTTTCTATATATAAGTATATGAAAATATTAGAAGCAGTGGATAATAGATTGTTAATGCAACTCTTATGTGTACCAGGGAAGCCATATACGGAGCAAAAATAGTTAAAATAACTAGAAGAACTAAAACGGTTCTGAATTGGTATTAAAAGTTGAAGTGCAGGAGGTGTTTCATGAGGAAAATGGCCTTTAAAGGCCTGCAAAGTTGAATAAGAAGTGCTGCTTGACGTTGATGTAGGAAAGAACCCCGGCAGAAACTTTTGAACATATTGAAGCTGCTGCTTGTACTAGTATACAAGTTAGATTTCTTTAGCTGCACCAACATCTGTAGTCTAAAAATAGATTTTAAAAAGAGTTTGTTCTGAACCTTTCAACTAAAGCAGCGTCATGATGAGTTCCTTCATGATGAGTTCCTTCAGCTTCTTGCTGCATTTTCCTTTTGATAAATGTTTGATGAATCCTTTAGACTAGAATCTCGGCTTCATGTTGGATTTAATGATGGACTAATACTAAGGCCTTCAGCCTCAGTTCTGCATCCATGTTTTAAAAAATCCTATGAAAATGCAAATATTATGTCCGTATCTTCAGAAATAACATACAGAATAGATACATCAAACAAAATCATAAACAATACACTTAATAAATACAAATCATATATTTTGTGCCATGGAAATATCAAACCCCTTAAAGTTAGTTTGAATGTCTAATAATGAATGAAATGACTTCTGTTAACTGGTTCAGTCTTATATTTTAAATGTACTATTTTCTGAATTGTACATTTCTGTAGCAAACTCAATTGTTTGTTCAGACAAATTGATTTTGTATAATTGTTTGTGACAATAATATTTAAAGCTCTTTCAGAGGTTCACTTTATACGGTCCAGTTTCATTGCAGGAGTCTTATTTGAAGAATTGGATTGTTTAAAAATATGGGTTTGATTAATTTATTCTGCAGTTCAATGATACTGTAGCTTAAATTCTCTGTTTCATATTAAACTTTGTGTCGCCCTTGGTCAACCTGTTGCTTTCTGTCCTATTCCCTCCTGCAGCTGTGTGTTATTCTGGAGCCCATGCAGGAGCTGATGTCCAGACACAAGACATACAGTCTCAGCCCCAGAGACTGCCTCAAGACCTGCCTCTTCCAGAAATGGCAGAGGATGGTGGCACCGCCTGGTAAACCGGACGGACCGTGTAGATTCATAAACGCGCAATCAGCCTGACATTTGCGTAACCGTCGCTTTCTCTCCCGACTCGACAGCCGAGCCGTCGAGACAGGCCCCCAACAAGAGGCGGAAGCGTAAGATGTCAGGCGGCAGCACCATCAGCGGCGGAGGAGGGGCCAACAATAACAACAACAACAAAAAGAAGAGCCCCGGTAGCGGCTTCCCTCTGTCCAGCCAAGTTCCGGTCAGTACATTGTTGCCACCTAGTGTCAGCGCTTGGCTACTACAGGTTTTTAAAACATATGTTCATTCAGAGAAGGAAAAAAACCAGACAGGGCCTGGACAATATCATTGTGGAATACAGCAATGGTGATATTGATTTGCACTTAAGCCCTATTTCCTCCACTCTGTTCCTGTTATTTTCATCACAATGTTCTCATCACTCTGTGAGGTCTGACATCTCAGACAATAAAATCTATATGTGTCTGTGTTGTGAGCCAGGAAAGCCCATTTTGCTCTAAAAATGTATAATTAGGACGCAAAGCCTAAGATGGGGCCAATAAGGGTGCTTGAAATCCTTGGAAATGCTTGAATTTTAGCCAGGTGTTCTCAAGGTTTAGAAAGTACTTGATATTCAAAATGCACAGATTAGGAATAAGGTGCAATCTAAAGTTTGATTAAAGGTCTAAATTTGGAAAACGTTATTTATAGTTGAAACCAGATAAGTTAGATAATGAAAAGACAATTACATTATTTCTCTCTGTCCAAAGGTGACTCAGACTAAACTTACTCAGATTTACCAAAATTATTTGTTTGCTAACGACCAGGAAACTTGGTGAGAAGATTAATTTAAAAAAAAAAAATTTTTTTTTCAAGCCTTTTTTGGGCCAGTGAGATATATAGGGTGTGTATAAGCCATATTTCACTTATTGATACTGTGCTGACGATCACAGTTTGATCAGCTCTTAAAAGGAATACAAACACCACTTTGAATTTATTTTGGGTTTGTAGTTTCAATTTGATTTGAAAAAATGTTAAAGTGTACAAAGGAAAACTCAAATCTCCGCGCTAACAAAGCCCTGTGTCGTGACCGCAGGACGTGATGGTGGTGGGAGAGCCCACCCTGATGGGCGGGGAGTTCGGCGACGAGGACGAGCGTCTGATCACGAGGCTGGAGAACACGCAGTTCGACGCGGCCAACGGCATCGACGACGAGGACAGCTTCAACAACTCTCCGGCGCTGGGCTCCAACTCGCCCTGGAACAACAAGGCCCCTTCCAGCCAGGAGAGCAAGAGCGACAACCCCACCTCGCAGGCGTCCCAGTAGAGCCCCGGGGCGGGCCCCCCATAACCTCTATACAGACCCCTCTGTCAGCCCCCCCACCCTACCTCTATAGCCATGACTGCAGCCAAATTGGTCCATAGTCTGATTTGCAAACCAAACACAGCTGTAGCGCTCAGATTCACACCGCAGGTAGCCTGAAGGAGCTCCGTCTGTCCTCTGACTGAGCCAGAGAAATGTTTAGGCACTGTGTCCCAGCACTGTTTCTCTCTCTCTTTCTCTCTCTCCCCTCCTCCAACTTCTTACACAAAACGCCCCCGTCTGCTGTTGCTCGTTTTCATTTCCGGATGGGGACAGGGGTTGACGCGACCGAGAAGTAGCAGGAATTTATTCCACACAAGAATCAAGTACACTAACCCTATCGGAGACCAAGCGCTCGCACGGAGGGGTGGGCGGGGCCTGTGAGGGCGTGGCTTCACGGCGGTGGCGAGTCGCTACCCGTCATCTACACACGGCTCCGGATTGTGGCCCGCTCTGCCGATGCATAAGCCACCCTGCGTGTTGTGAGCGGAAGTGTGTGTGCGTGTGTGTGAAGAGAAAACCTGAAGTGTTTATCTGTGGCTTTGCTGAAGCAGACGGTTCAGAACGGAGCGTCGGTTTTCAAAACTAACACACTAGTATGAAGGCTGTTTTGAGGCACTAGGGCAATAACACATGTATATTCTCACCCATGCATACACGCATAACAGTAAAGATCATGATTGAAGGATTCTGAGTGCCCCCAGTGCCCCAACCATCCCTGATTAGACTACAGTGATTGCAGTCTTTCAAATGGAAAGCATTTACAACACACAAACACACACACAGCTACACATTTTAAGAGTTTTTATACAGTATATATATTTCCCTAGAATGTTTTTGTTTTATTTGTATTAAACGCCTTCATTTCAATTACTTTTCTTTTTATTTTCTACCAATACTGAAAAGCTACAGACCAAGGAGCAACGCAGGACTTTTATCCTCCTCTCCCCCCTAAAAAATATATTGTTTTTTTTTTTTATCTTTTATGTTTATAAAAGAGAAATAATTTAGTGTGGATGTTTTTATTTTGTCTTTTTGTTTTTTTTGGGAAATTTTTGTGTATTTGTGCTTGTATATTTAAGGTAGTAGCAAAGTTCTGTCTGACTGTAATAAAATGTATTCTTACTTAGATTTACCTAAAGCCATCCCGATCTAATGTAAAGAAACAAAAATAGGAAAAAGGAGAAAAAACACTCATGAACCTGTTCCCTCTTCCCCCCTGCTGTCTTTCCTCCTTCCTCTTTTTTTAAATAAAACTTGTGTAAATTAAATTACAAACCCCTGGGGGTACAATGGCACCATGGAAAGAGGATTTTTCTTAGTTTTTCTTTTGTTTTTTTTCTATTTATTTTTAAAAATTCACGCTTGTACTTTGATTAATCACAGCATCCCTGACAATTTTTCTGTATCTCGTCTTGATGTCGACGTGAATGTGCTCGGTGGCTTTTAGTTTTCCCTGTAACCTTCCTGTTTCATCACTGGCTAAGAAACAATCTTTTGTTTTTTGATTTTCTTTCTTTTTTTTAAAAAAATGGGTTTTATGTTAAATTTCTCTTATTTGTACAGTCTTGTTTATAACCAGCAGTGTCGCTAGCCATTTTAACATTAACTACAGTCTGCATATTTTGGTAACAGTGCTGAGTCTGTAAAGTCCAATAGAGAACAGCTCTGTTATTGGTTTGTACATTTGTGTTTTGTTTTTTTGGGAATTGATTCCAGCTGCATTTATGATTGACTTTGAATGGTGACTTGTACCTTCTCCAAACCCTGTAGAGAAATCTTTGTTTGATATATATTTTTTTGATTTGCTTAGTTTCTGCCCTTAATAATTAATGTATGGTACCAATAAAAAGATACATTTTCACTTTAAAACTGGTGTGGATGAGGAATATTTGTAAACGGCGCGAATGCTAGTACGAAAAGGATTGTCTTGTTCATGAGGTTTTGCATTTATCAATCATGTTAACTTTTAATAAGTAACTTATGATTCCAATTTAAGTGTTGGTGTAAAAGAGGAGCTCCTTTGTCACTACTACCCTTAAAAGTGGGTAAGAGAATCAAACATAATTCAGATAAGGCAGATATGTTGATTTTTATAAGGGGAAGAAGCTAAAAGGTTTCTCAACATATTTGCGTTTTGGACAGATGTGTTTTAAAACAACAAAGTGAGATGGATGATTGAAGAGGAAAAATGTCAGAAAACTGCAACAAATACTTAATAGTGATATATTCTATTGCGTTGGTGTGCTTCCTTAGCAAAGGCGGTGATAAAACTGGAGGGAACTGTAAAGTGCTGTGGATATTTTATTTCTGAACGGCTCTAGTAGGATTTTGTGTGTTGCTGCAGAGAGCAGCACAACCAGGTGGAGGCCAGTTTGGTCAAATTTCCTCCATTAATAAAATATTTTGTTTTTAATTGCAATTTTTCTGACATTCTAAAACAATAGAAGTGCAACAGAAAAGCTTTATTTTTTTTTTAACTACACTCAGCATATTTTTTGACAATGTTTTGAATTTCTCCAAGCATGAATGAATATGGACCCTGTTCCAAGTATACGGTATCTGTGCATGATCACACTCCCTATTTAATATACAGCAACCACACAACATACTACTATTTTTTTTTTAAAACAATTTTGCACCATTGCTAGCTGTCAAAGCTCATCGTCAATCCAGTTAGCAAACTGGCTTCAGGTTGCACAGCTGAGCCCCTCAGATCTCTGCTGGCTGCACCTGTCAATCAACGCCTCCTTTCAGTCCTCAAACAAATAAAAGCTAAGATGAGAAGACACCAGCAGCAGATTACAGTTCATGTTGATCATGACGCCTCCTGGGCAATGGTCATTTTTGGTATGGGCCAAGCGGACAGTTGCCCAGGGTGGCATTAGAAAGAGGGCAACAGATAAAACAAATAAAAGAACCCGAAAAGAGTTTCATGGCTGTGCAGTCGATGGGGAGTCGGTACCCTCTGCTTGCTGCGGAGAATATTGAGACTGTTGTTTATGCCACTCCAGAATTTCAGATCAAGTCAAGCAATTTATCTGGAGGACATTTACTAACCTCCCCTTCCCTTTCGGAGAGTATGTCTCACTAGAACGATACCCGCAGGCAGACCCAGAAGAGGCTGGAAGGAATCCAAGACTTCCTTGGATTCCTGGCTGAAGAGAATCAGCAGATCCTCCCTTCAAAAAGCAAACATTGAATGGATGATGATGGATGATGTCAACTCCTGGAGACGAAATGATCAAACATCACCAAAGCAAAAACCACAAAGGAAATCGTTGAGAACATTCCTGAAAAGAAGAACGGGCAAAACCAGAACCAGTACTACCAGTCAAACATGAAAGGCAAAATAAACAAAACACAAAAAGGGAAATCAAGTCAACCACTCCTAACACCAGATCCACTTCACTTCTCCAGGCAATCTGAACATGCCACCTTCAGCAAATCCCAAATAGTTTTTCTTTATCTAAGTCTTTAGTTCCTTTCTCCCAGAAAACTCCACAGCCAGACACCGAGGGGACGCTAGTGTCCTCTGAACAGTTATTGATCACCTGGCAAAACAATGATAAGGTTTCATGGGGGGAGGAAGTCAACAGTCTTGCCAGAGTGGCGCACGGAGAATAAACTGCTGGTCAGCGTCAATAAAACCGAGGAGGCGATCATTGATTTTGGAACAAAGAGTGACAAACGCCTCTAATTGAGCCGATGAAGAGTAAGTGAGCACGTTTAGACTCGGGGAGTCATTATCACAGTGGCTTTGTCATGGTGATTACATCTTCAGCATGTGATGAAGAGCCTGCACATCAGCTTTTCCTTTAAAGTGGAGCTTCGACAAGGCTTTGTCCGGCTTCTGGCCAGTGTGGCTGAAAGAAATGAGTTTTTATGTCATGTCTGACACGCAGCGAAAATAGAAAGTCCTCCATTCTTAATTAGGAACTGCTCCAAACTCTCATAAATTTGAGATTTAAATAAAATGATCCTGCCATAAGAATATATTGAGTTAAAGTTTTTTTTTTTCCACACATATTTTATATTTGGTCAAGTATTGCAAATTTGACCTAACTCGTCACCTCAAATCCAACTTTTGCAACAAGAAAGCAAGAACATTCAACCTGCTGGCAGTCCTTACACACACATACAAACCTATGTATGGTGAAGTACAGTCACATTCAATAAATTACAATATTACTGAAAACTTTATTTAAGTAATTCACTTCACATGTGGACTGTTTTCAAGCTGATACCTCAGTTCATTATGAAAGGTGCCTGCTAACGGATAATAAAAACGCAGCATTTTTAGACATTACATCAGGCCAATAAAAAAAATTATACAGAAATGCATGTAATAAAAGCATGTTTAAGGCTATTTTCAAATGATATTTTTGAAATATGATATACGCGCATATTGAGGGAGTGTAACATATGACATGTTTCTTTGTTTCACAAATTAAAAGGAAATTCTTAGCTGAGCAAAGACAATTCTGCATCACATTTCATTCTGTGAGCACTTTTCCATTTTGTTTACTGCACATCTGTGAATCCAATTTGGTGCAAATCCTATTTGCACTTTTTTTTTTCTTACAGTAATGTCTGATTGCTTTGTTTTCCTCTTCAGTTGTTTTGAGCAGTTCAAAGGTCTCCCGTTTGTGATAAAGAGTCAAGGAAAAAAAGAAACAACAAAAAAGGATTTCTGGTTAATTAAAAGGAAACGTTAAGTAACAGAGAATCTCAAGGAAATACACGGAAACAAACCCTGTCGGGCGTTAAGACCCTGGAGAGCAACAGGATGCTAACAGGGCGCTAACAGCTAACTGCTGCCACAGGAATTCATGAACTACATTAGCATTGGCATTTGACTGTTTGACTGAGGTACGTACGTGGAAATGAACAAATATAGATGGTAACACACGGACATTTAACCAGTAACTACGCAGGCGTTTTGTCACTTAGCTCGAAACACTTAAATCAGTGGTAGCTAACATAAATAATGAGGGGCATCAGCTAGATTAGCGTTAGCCCAAAGCTGCGAAACATCTGCAAATAAAAGGCCCGGTTGAGCTCACAGTTGGTCATTTAGCGGGCTCGCATATTGGGGCTTAATGATGTTTTTCTGCAGGATGAAAGCACACGATGGTCACGGTGTCGCTTTTTGCAGTTTTAAGAACACGGACTAGTTCAGTGGAGAGCTTGCTCATCAAGCTAACGCTAGGTGGGGTAGCTAGCAGCTGATTCCGACTAGGACTGATCAATATCGACTTCATCAGCAGCAGCAGCCAGTTTCAGCCGATCGCTGGTCAAAAGTTTTGTCACTTAGCTAAGTGTGCAGTCTCCCAACTTCTGTCCAGTAGTGCTCTGCTAACAGAGCAGCTGAGTAAGTGCTCTTGTGCTGGTGTGAATGATTAAGTCAGTAAAACATTGACTTGGGGCATTAAGTTCTGAGAAGGTGGTTTCTGTGCTTTGCCATAGTTCGTCTTTACTGATAGTTTGTGATAATAATGAGTGAAGTGAGACAAATGGGAAAATATTTCTGGAAATGTAACCAATGACAGGTTATTTACCTGTTGCTGAGTCATTGCATTGTTTACATTACACTAATTTCTGTTAATATTTGTCTAATCTTCCCATATGAGCTTTATTATTTTAGAAAATAGGCTCTTAAAACAACTAATTCCATTAGTAGCAGTACAGCTCCTAAAATATTTCTGTCTGTGTTGTTTTAGGTATATTTTCCAGAAACCATAAACATAAACAAACCATAAACAGAAAAGAATCAGATGTGTGAGGGCATTGAAACAGTCAGTAAAATAACAAAACATTGGACATTCACAGACACTTTGTTTTAGAGATTCTTTGCAACTTTTAGAGTGTTGGTATTCCTCTGTTGTGGTGCAGCTGTGTTGAGTTATGAGATAAATCTTTTTTTCATGCCTTTGGTCGTCCATGTTTCTGATTCTGTGGGAGAGGTCAGTAAAAACGAAGCGTAAGTGGGTGTGGAATGACTGTAAATGGTGATTGCTTCCAGCCACTATTTGTCATTTGGCAGCACAGTCAGTGACATAAATCCCGGGTCAAACGTTTCCTGCAATAATTTCTGTATACTGAGAACTAATCGGAAACAAGTGTCGCTAACGAGATTGAATGACTTGATCAAGATACAGAGATCCAAAATAATTCGCAGCCTCTACCTGCTGCCCCAAGAACCATTTTTGCTACAAAAAGGAGCTGCTGCTAGCACATTTTAATTATATATTCCAATTTAAGCGTTTGTAAATGACGGCTTGTTTTTGTATGCCTCCTGATTTTGCACACTGTTTTGCATGCTAGCTCCGTTTCCGCTCTCTTTGCAGACTTAGTCATGTCTCAAGTTGAGAAGAAAGCAGGGCTGCTGAGGAGGACGTCATCCTCTAAAAAACCTTTGAAAGAGAAGGTGGTTCTGATGTACGACGAGATTTTTGCTGTGAGTGCTGCAGCGGGTGGTAAGAAGTGGTGGATGTTTTCAGAAAGGAGTAAATGTCCCCGTGCTGACAACTGCGTCCTTTCTATGCTTTTTTAGAAAGAAGACCCGACTAAAAATAACCCTCGCTTCTGGGACGAGCTGTTTCTCATGAAGGTAGAGAAAACGCACTCCAGTGGAAATGTCTGCAGACCTGATTGGAAATTTGTCATCTGACCTGCTTGGCGTGATCGTGACGTGGACTGAAAATAGTAGTTTTGAGAGAAAAACTGCTGCCAGAAGCAGCTGCAATGACTCACAGACAAAAGACATTTGCAAAAATCTGTTCCCGTGTTCAAGCTAAAAGAGGAAGTGCTGATTCACTCAAATCAAATTGAACTGGAGCATGACTGTATCAATCTGCCAGGTGGCGACA